ATTTCTGCAGATTAGCTTAGAGGGGAAAGTAGCAAATTTATATTCCAAGGAAATCAGCATTTCCTCCTTGATTCCGGTCCATTCCACTGTGCATTCAGAATCAATCTGTGTGCCCCTCCCCCAAGACCCCCTTCCTGCGCACAGACTGCTACAGGACGATGTCTGCACAATGTCACTAAAAAAGCACCCCCCCCCACCTCAGCACGTTAGGGTTGTATGTGTCAAAGTAAACGTAACTGTACTCACATTTGAGCAAACGGCATGATAAACCATCATTTCATTTCACCCAGAAACATGCATTTTTACCTGGATAAACATTCATTCATGCACTGTGTCTGTCTAAACAACCACCACATCAAGGACAGAAGGAATATGTAACTTTAGAGAACCATATACAGCCACACAGTACTCCTCTGTGCTACCGTGAATGACATAATGAGTTAATTAAGTTACAGATATAAGGTTCAAACAGGGGTCCCAATTTCTGATGAGCGATTTAACTAAGCGAAGCTTTAAATTCTAACTCCAGCAAGTCCGATGAGGTTAAATCAGATGTCCAGAACAATCTAAATCCTTTCGCAATGGAAAACAAACACACCGGTTCAGCCTTTTAGCGAGAATTCTCCTCTTTTTTCTGTTTTAATCGATATTACAGAGAGCCTGCATCACGGATTCCTAAGCGAACACAAGCAAATCACCATAACAACAAACTCCCACCGTTTCACGGAAGGGGCTACGCTTTGTGTCCAGTCCGTGGCCTTCAACAACATGGACCCATTAGCTTATAATATACCGTTAAATATCGCATCTAAGTATAACTAGTTTTTTTTTTTTAAAAAAAGGGGATGAGTCATTATGAACTAAGACTGCGTCGACTTTCGATGGAGCAAGATTTAAAATGCGCTGGAAATCCAAACAAAACGCCGAGCTCTATTCAGTGCGATAAGGAATGAAAAGCCTGGATTTCAAAGCAAAGATTGAAAAGAGGGTCTCTGGCGACGAAACAAACTCCAGAAAGAACAAGCAGATGGAGGGAAAATGCACCAGTCAAGTACGCTGTTCTGGATACAGAGGCACGCTGAGAAAATGCAATGGGAATTCGCTGATTATTGATCTCACTCACATCTATTTGCAGCTCAGAGGCCTTGCAAGAAAAACTCCGTATGAGTCTTTCAAACTCAAACTCACTTTCACAAAAAGTGAGACGGTCCCTTAATTAAAGGTTGTTCAATCATGCCAATGTTTCACTATTCAGATAAATTACTAAAACGTACAAAATAAAATTGATTATAGTCAAGCACTTAAATACTATTAAGAAATACCACCTAAGTAAAAAATGGACACTTTTATCAATACCACTCACCTCTGACACCGGATCTCACAAACAATTTGCAAATGTCAATATAAAACCGTAAACATCAAGCCATTACTAAGCCACTTCACAAGCAACATGCAGAGGCGGAAAGTTCAGCTCCAAAACATATCAATCCAGACCAAGATTTTGTTTCAGCCAACCACTTGAGTGCTCTGCCACCATGTCTATTTATATTCAGCTGGTTGGTTGAAGCAAAATCCTGGTCTGGATTTGTGCTTTCTGGAACTGAACTTTCCACCTCTGGCAAGATGCATCAGATACTTTTATTTTTAAAGAGAGCAAAAACAGGCACCCAGGACCTGCGTCCTAAGGAGTCTAACACATATTTCTCTAGCTTTATTTCAATCCACAAATCCCACAACTGACTGAGTAGAGGGTTATGAGTGTGTCATACTTATTCTGATGTACTTACCCGAGACCATTAAGCTGTTAAACAGATAAGCACTTGTATTTGTCGAGACCCAGGAAGATTCTAGGTCCTACGAGAGTCTCAGATCTCGTGCACAGTGCTTGTATTACATAGTATTTGTGAAAATGTCTCTGTCGCACAGAGTAAGGAAATGACCTCTTCGCTAAAATGACCCCCCCTGCTTGAAGAGTCGCCCCTAGAGCTCCATGGAGAAAATTATGTCCCTTGGAGGATTTCTGAAAGGAGGGGGGGGGGGCGGTTACACGGGGTTTCTCGACCGGCTACGAACACACGACGACTCACCAGGGAGAGGGTGACTACAGCAGCGAGCAGCAGGTGTCTCATCCCGGCCGCCATTTTCGTCCTCGAGGTCCAGGACGGTTCCAGGATGCTGATTTGGGGAGCCGCCCCCCCCCCCTCCACCCTCCTGGGGCAGGTCCGCAGAGATCCGACAGATGCTGAACCGGGCCTACTGCCGCATCACAGCGCCTGGAAAACAATGTCATGAGAATAGTGACACCTTTCCCAACATAGCATCTCACCTGCTTAGCATGCATTTGGATACTGAGCTATGATCTGAAACAGGCAACTATAGTACTAATTAACATGTACGTATGAGAAAATGTAGAACAGAATATAGATATTTAATATGCATACGCAAGTTTGTATAACACATGATGCAGTTCCTGTTCTTAAAAACCCCATACAGATCTGTCTCCCTACAGCCCTTTTCTTTGGTTTGTAGGCTGCAGCTGCCTATTCCATAGATAAATCTCCCCTTTGAGCACAATGGAATCTGATTTGTACGGTCGCTTGAATTCCCACAGAAAGCCGTATTGGCGAAGCATTAGGAAGGCCGCCTGACATTTATATTCATATGTCCGTGCGCGCAGAGGTACGGCATCGCGGCACCGCCGTTAGTCACCCAGCTGATGTAGCCTATAACCGGTTCGCTGTCACCGGTTCGCCGATGGCAAGCATTATGTCGAAGCAGAGGAGTCGGGAAGAGATTCCGTACTCCGGCATGGACGCAAGGATGCAACGGAGAATAAGGAAAGATGGATTAGTTTTTGTCCGATTGTTTGAAATTCAAAGCGACGCCTCCATCTATTATTTTCCATCTCACAAAAAAAACAAAAATAAACAAAAAAAAGCACACATTAAAGGCGAATTTCCATGTAAGACCTTCATCAGCCGCTAGTACTCCTGTGACAGGTGCCAAGGTCACGGATGCCACTGATATCATCACTGCTACTGTGGAAATGCTGAACTGTCAGTAATTTAAAACGATTTGATATGATTCCCGTGTTTATTTTATATTTCCAAGCCAGAAGAAGAGATATGTTTATAATTTATAAAGCGCCTTCCGCCGTCTCTTTCATTTCTGCATAGGGAATAAAGGTCAGTAATGTGAAACAGCTGGAAAAAAATTAAGAACGAATAAGATCCTAGATCTAGATCGCTTAAAATTTACTGTGCCAGCTGCAAATAGTGATTTTTTTCTAAAACCGCAATTAAATTATTCTGGTGTCAAGCAAAAACTTTAACGACATTGATTATAAATCGTGTTTAATTTGCACGCAACTCTTAAATATTACATACGCTACACCTACTAAAGAGATGCTATACGTCAAATTACATCAGACACGTCACGTCATGCCAACATACAAAAGTAATAAGGAGAGGAACCCCAATGTAAGTGGGGTGTGGTGTCAGAAAATCTTTATTTGGTCATTTGATTGAGTAATGTAATTTTAAATAAATAATATGCAGAATTATCTTATACACCGGTTTAACTTAACTTTCAAGCATTAGATCATACAGGAAGACCTGAACTTTGTGATTATTTGATGGAGAGTATTTTATTAACATTAATTCGGTATTAAGTTCATTGAAACTAACACTCTTATTGGATAGGTTGTTTGTGTTTAGTTTATAGGGCAAAGGGGCATTTCAGGCACTGTCGCATCGTCTTTACACCGACCACAGTCAAAGGACGTACAGTACGACTTGTCTTGAAACCCGCAGATTCAGACTTCATAGCCTCCTTTAAGGCAATAAGCGCACGGACTGAAACAGACGCGCCGCAGTTACGAAACATGCATCAGCTGCAGCAAACGCCATTCAATAAAACCCACTACTTTAAACCCATTTGCACTTAAAAGCGCATACCAGGCTAGTCCTGGGATGTCGAGTCAAGCTTTAATGTGTGACACACTGCTGCAGTGTGTTAAAACACTAACGTACACCCGGCTCCCAGCCCGAAGCCCATCAAGGTACAGCGCGTGCCGCTTGCACAGCGCGCACATACGCGTGTAACTGCAATCCCCCCGTGACATTAGGCACCGATTTCAGGAAATCTTACCAGCGAGGTTCTCTAAAAACGAGTTGCAAAGGCAGTAATCTCCCTGCACCGGAATTCAATCCGTTTGCACAGAGCCCAAGGCGTTCAAACGGGGCTTTAGCCGCCCGTCCGCAGATCGGGTGGATGTGAAGCGCTCGCTCGGCGTTTCCGTCCCTGCCGGAAAAAACTCACATAATTTACTCCACTGCTCCCGCATATGCCCTTATATTTGAGTATATCTCTGGTAAAGCCTGTAAACTTAGCCCCAGCCCGACATCAGTAGACTTAGAGCACGAAGTGATGGACCCGTCTCCTTCCAGATGATGCCACTTGGCGATTGAGAGCTCAGCAGCCCGTACCTACACGCCTACTGCTAGCAATGGAGCTGCAAGCCAATGGAATGACTAGCCAAGATGTTAACACCGTCCCATACCGACGCCTAACCCATTAATTTACTTATTTTAATGAAGATACTACGTTTATACGGCAAGAAGTTTCATCTGCGCCGCTTAAAAAGAAGAAGACGAAAAGCCATCACGTTCTGTTTGCACTTTATAAACAGGTTACTTAATCGCTAGTCAATGTGAGTGTGTTTGGAAGTAAGAGAGGTCTAAGCTCAACTGCTGCATCTCAGCTGTAAAAAACAAATTATTATTATTATTATTATTATTATTTCTTGTGTACAATTCCGTACATTTTAAGATTTAACGATCATAAAAAAGATTAAATTAGCAAGATGGTCCATGGCACTTTGGATCAAGCCTTTACACATCTAGGAGGTATTGTTAATATCTTATAAAGTTATATTTACGCATTTAGGCGCCATTGTTAATCTCTTATTTGTGTATTGGTAAACTGCTTAAAGAGCAATAGCGGAGCCAGAAATCATAGCGTGGGTGGACCGGTGAAAAAAAAAAATCAGGTGGGCCAGTCCCATAACGATTCATTTGGCGACAAAATTACATTACAGACGCAACTAGACCTACATATATTTTTGAACAGTTTTGACCCGTGGCATTACGAAGACCAAAAGAACAAATTGAAAGGAAACTATAGTTGCCTCTCAACAGCACATTTACTTTGATTGATCTAACCACGCACACACATACCTGTCAGACACAACCGTTTTATCGTGCTGTGTCGCTCACTATAGACGCAAAATGGGCCTGAGTTTCACCTCAGTGGGCCCAGAACCACCAGGGCCACCAGGGCCACCTCTGCCGCCGCGGTAGATATAAAGAGACCGTTATTCACCCTGAAGTAATCGTGATCGTTTGCTTGCATGTATGCGAATCTAGGACTCCTGTACTATAGATAATTTGGTGCAACAATTAAATATTTAAACTTAGTCAGCCCATTTCAGCAGGTCACATGAATGCTTTAGATTCACCGTTATAGCAAAAGCCCTCCGTGTGTGTATATATATATATATATATATATATATATATACATATAGGCTACGGCTGATACTGTTGCAGATACTTTGACCTTTGCGGTTTTGGTGCTTCATTTCCTCTGATTTCTAAACTAAATCCTCTCAGTTCGCAGTTTACCGTAAACTGCTTCGAGGCTGTGCCTTTTTTATTATTTTGCTCTGATTTTGGATGCTTTGCGATGCTGTCACTTCCTCTCCAGCTTTTATGTGATGCAGCATCAGCCAAAGCAAACGTTCCTGCCGACCTCAAGTTTCGGTTTTGCTATCTTAAGTTTAGACAATTTAGTTTCTATTATTGCGGGGACTTAGAACGCAGATGAACTCTGTTCACCCTTTTCTTGTCTTTTAAGCAAGTGCTATTTTGAGAAAACACGCCTTGTGAACACAGTCAGACGGCTCTCATATGTATTTTGAGAAATCTCCAATCTAGAGGGTATTTAAGGCTTAATTTAACTAGATAAAATAGAAAATACGGTATTTCTTTTGCATCGCACCATTTTATATAAAATTATTTCCATCGTTTCTTTCGATCACAAAGTTCGAATTTAAGTATTAATTTGTCTAAGTGTTTTATTGCTGAAGCAGGCAGGGGGCGGAACTGTCGAAGAACTGTCCGACGAGAGCAATTTTCTCACCTTGTCGGAATTTAAATTTCAAGACCTCAGCGGCTCAGAGACGCAAACTCATACATTAAACACAGATTTTCGGGTAAACACTCTAACAAGAAAATGTTCTCTGTGTGCGTTTACTTTTGAGAAATCCACCCACATATCTTCAAGCACTGATATAGTACTAGCGTATGCAACAACGACTTAGAGAAAATTATTTTAAATAGTATAAGATCGGATCCCAGAAGCCGCTCTCCCATGCATGAGCACGCCGGGATAAACATGCGAAAGTTAACTCCCATGATGCACACAGAGGAAAGGGGGGAGCAGCTCTATACAAACAGCTTCTAAAAATACCCTAATATACTGACAGTGTAAGCAACCCCGCACTAAACCTTCTGAGGACCACCACACACAGATCAGGGCTAGTTAACAGTGAAACCAGCTCTACACTTTCCATTCTAGTCATACACTGCACAGATAACCAATAATTGTATCAATCGTAAAGCTTTATAAATCCCACTATGTGACTCAATTCATAGAGAGGACTGCAGTCTAACTCGGTGTTTATTTAATAACATTTTAACGACCTGAACCGAGCACTGTAAATAACCATTGGAGGAGATAATAGCGTTTCTGCTCAGATAAGACAAAGAGAGCGATATACGAATTTAATCACACAAGCTCATGTACACGATCGCCGGCATCACACGTGATATAACGCCTTTGATAATCGTCGCATATTTACATGCGCTTTTACGCTCGATCCTGGATTACATTATTATAGACAATGATACATTTCGGGACAATGCGCCTTGAGATATACCGTCTCGTGTTGTGTACGTATTTGCACGGCTCAGATACAAATTTTGTCTGTGACAAAGAGTTGGATGACGACAAATTTATCATCTCAATATATGTTTTGCTACTTACATGGAGAGTTTTAAATGAAAAGGAATAAACACTTTTGACAGTTTTTCGGATTTTATATAACCCATTTTCTCCCATTCCTCTCGTTTTTTTCTTCATCCAACACTCCTACACAGCAGATAGCAGTGAGTCACCTCTGGCAACATTTAAAATTCAAATGTGATGTCAGGACACTGTATGGTGCTGCTTTCATCACTCCGGTTACTACATACCGGGAGTAGAACGCGTGGATCAATTTAAGATGGGGGCGAGTATGACGTGTCCACCTTGGAGTCCGCTCACATGCATGTGGATGGGGTTGAAATAGCAATGTTGCAGCCACACCCACCCCAATAAATCGCGTATGCACGCGACTTCAAATGACGAATAAAATCAGGGAAATACGTCGTTAGCTGCATCTAATTGCTTGCATCATTAACTTTTTCAACACGGAGGAATCGGTCAGTCACAACATTTACTATCTACCTATCTATCTCTCTATCTATCTATCTATCTATCTATATGTACGTACGTATACACACACAGACACAGACACACACACAGACACACACATATATATATACACACACACACACACACACACACACACACACATATATATATATA